TTCATTTTTTCCTTAAATTTTTCAACTCAATTCAAAGGCATTTTTTGTTGTTGTTGTAAGCAGTTTTCAACAAACTTTTTTCTATTTGTGAAAATTTCTAGGTAATTCAAAGGTAATTTTTAATACATGTTTTACACAGCATTATTATTATTTTGGAGGTTGCAGGATGTATTAAATTACTTAAAAAATGAAAAGTAATTATATCATATGACTTCAAGATTTATTTTATATCTTAAAAATAATTAATTATATCCCAGGATCCCAGGAAACAGATCACTTTTTTCTCTGAATTCCAAGACAAGCAAAGGGCTGGGAAATGAGAAACCCTAGTTTACACACATTTTTTGGCATAATCATTAGGTTGTGCAATTTCCACATATGTATGCATTTTGATGAAGATGGCATTTCTTAGGTTTGGATGAGAATAAAAGTTTATTTTTGATTGATTGATTGATATTATTTTTGATCTTTAAAAATAATATACAGTCAATCCCCCTATAAGATCATAGATACGTTCCATTCTTTAGGAATCCGATTTCTTACGAGTCCTTCCAATCACAGCCCGACACGTGTCAAGTTTACGGACTACGGCTGATTGAAAAGTTTTCTTCCATAAAATTAATCGATTCTAGACTAATCCGACTCAACATTTCCAAAATACGTATATATTTTTTGGAAATAATCCGTATAAACTACGCTATAAACAAAAAATTGTAGGATTACTTACCGAGTATGCACCATTCGACAACCCCATTGCTAAAGCTTGTTTTCGTCGCGAAGCAGCACACCAAACCACGGCCGATTTCTGATAACTTATTTTTCTGCGAAAACTTCGTTGAACTTCGGAGACATCATTAATATAAATAATTTTAATCGCCGTTGAATAAGAAATGTTTCTTTCACAAGAAATGTATAAAATTACAGTACTGTATTAGACTTACGGTACCTAATTTACATACTGACAGACGATAGTTAGCGTAAAAATCTCCGTAGCGTGGCGCCACGCTAGACGGCGGAAATTATATATTTAATTATAACAAAGTTACAATAAGTTAATATATAATTATATATACAGTACCTAATTTATATATAATTAATATATAATTATATGTACAGTACCTAATTTATATATAATTTATATAATACTGTCCAGATGATAGAAATCTCTCCATAGCGTGGCGCTACAGACGGCAGGAAAGTAGTTCGGCTGCCCGATGACGTTTTACGTAATTATAAGAGTTTTTTTTACCTTTTTTTTACGGATACTGTCACAATTTTTTCGCAGTTTTATAGGAATCGTAATTATAGGGGGGGTCGACTGTACTGTAATAGCGAGGTTGTGGCTGAAGTTTTCATTTCTAAAATGTGAATGTCGACTACTGCTTACAAGATAGTGGTGCTCAACGTTCACATTTTAGAGAAAAAACTTCGGTCACAACCTCGCTAACAATCAAAATTTTGCACTGATATGTGGATTTGCTCAACTAAAGAAATCTGCATTTAATTATATATTTTCATTAATTTAAAAATATGTTAATGATTATGTATAAAAACAACAACTTCTCTTATAATTATCAATCATTTTAAATAAAATTGCAAGAGTGAATCTAAAAGTTAGGACTGCATAAATTTTACAAACCAAGTAACTATATACAGTATAACCTCCAAATAGAAGACACCACTAGGACCGAGTCTGCTATGTCAATAAGTCTGCTATTAGGAGGCACTGTACATGCTGGCAGCTATACTAAATTTTAATGTGTTCATTATAGAATAGTGAAGAATACAAACGATTACAAAAATATCAAATTTGCATTAGGAATGTGAATATGCCAAAAAGTATAAGTAGGATATATAGTTGAAATATGTATACAGTGTATTATTTATCTTTCCAGCTGTAAAAATCTCATTTTAAATTGAATTCTAAATAGCAAACAGATTGAATAAATACTTTAAAAGGAACATAAAAATTACGATAAAACAAGCATTGATTAATTTAATTATTAATTCATCAAAAACAAAGTAATAAAAAACAAAATTTATTTATTGTGACATCATCACAATGCCAGGCTGCAATTTTTAATCATGTTTTTAATTTAATATATGCTCTCCACCTCAAATTAGCAGTGGCTTGCCCCTATACATCATACTTTTCTTTTAATTAACAATAGTGTCTTGCCAGTCATCCATTCACTACTTTCAGGAGAAAACTTTTGAATTGAAACAACATGCCTTCCATTTTGCAACAGTTCATAGCTGGTCTCAGATTTCATCTATCTAACTCCTTTCTTGAGATTAAGGAAATGGACAGAAGATAATGGGAATTTATAGATCTACAATATTTTCAAATCGCAGCCCAAAAATGAAACTATTGTTATGAACAGAAGGGTAAATGAAAGTCAGTTTAAGCAATGAGAGTTTGGCTTAAGGCAATTTGCTAGCCACTTTAAGGAATGGTAAAGGTATTCAGTAATCTTGCATTTATAAATGTCTCTTATAAAGTGAATAATAAAAATCAATATAATGATTTGTCTTCTTTGTAGTTATTAAGTAGGTGCAATTTTTTTGAACATTTTTGCTTTTTTCAATAAATGATTTATTAAAAATTACATCTAAGCTACACAAAACTGTTAAGATCATAAATGCAAGAATACAAAATATCTTACCACATTCTAAAATGACAAACAAATTGTCTTCATAATATGACCTTTGAACTTGCACCATAAACACTACAGCCATAATCATTTTAAGTTTCTTTTCATTATTAATGTATTACAGTTTTTGTTGAATGTAAGAATAACTCAGAAAAAGTTTATGGTTTCTTGGTATCATTAGCTTAATTTCAGCAATAGCACAGACATTTAATAGCATTAAATGTATGACAATAATAAGCAGTGACTGACAACTTAACCAGATTAGTATTCTCTAACAGATAAAGAATATTGTTTTTACAACCTGTCCCCTCCCCTATTCTTATTTTCAACCAGTCTTAATTTGATATCTATGGTCAAAATTTGTCAACTAAGAGAGTATTTGAACTGATTCTGTTTTCATTTTAAAATATTTCTTACATAATTATTGCAGAATATTGAACATGGTCATTGTGTTTTCATAAGGTTGGTTATGGATGACAGCATTTATTTAAAGGTAAATATAGATATCCTATTTGAAGGATTGTAAAAATGTCCATTAACAGAGGTTTCATGTTCTGTTAAAACACAAAAACAACAATCATACTTTAAACTTGGCATCAAATTTTAAATTGGATAAATTATAAACTTTAATATTTAATTAAAACTTAAAGATTTGTTTTTAAGGAGAAATGACAGTTTAAAATGTCAAAAGTTATAAAATTTGAAATAAAATATCCTTTCACTTAATTAGCATTGCTTTTAAAATGCTACAAGAAGTTATTTGTGTAAATGTTTTTTATATCAATACTCTAGTATATATCCTTTCAAAAGAAAATGGTTTTAAAAAAAATTTAACTTTAAAATAAATTCAAAGAAGTGTGTATATTAAATAAATATTTTATTGAATTATATATTGACCATTTTAGTCAAATACCTGTTGCCATCGTGTCTGGTAACAGCATGATTCCACGTTCATAAAAGTTTTGATCTTTGCTTACAAAAAACTGATCCAAGTGATTTTTGACATTGTCATTTCAAGTAAATGTCTTAGTTTAAAAAATTTTATATAGACTAGAACAAGTAATAATCTGAGGGTGCCTGATCTGGCAAATATGGCTGGTGTGATAGCACATCCCATCTAAGCTGTAACAGTTTCTAATGAGTTACCAAACTTGTCTGAAATTTGGCATTATCATGATAAAACACTACACCTTTTTCGTTGATCAATTCTGGCCTTTTCTGTTTGATGATATTACTCAATTTATCTATTATACTATAGATACTATTATTTATCTATTTCTACTCAATTTGTTTACTCGATGGCAGTACACTTTTGAATCAATTGCTAAATTGTCTGGTAAAAGCTCAAAAAAAAAAAAAAAATTTTCTTAAAATCCCACCAAAGAGAGCAACTCTCTTTAAGAACATGTAAAACCCATATATCAAGCTTTGAAATAAAACCAATTTGTTTCAAGTAATCATAAACGGTTCAATTTGACAAATTTAATTGCTTAGTGATTTCACATGTTATTTGGCAGTTTGCTTCAATCAGTACTTTTATTTTGTTTTCATTGGCTTCAACAGGCCATCCAGAACATGGTGCATCTTCAATATTGAAATTGCGAGAACAAAATTTTGTAAACCAGTTTTGGCACTATTTTTCTTTCAACACATCTTCTCCATACATGTACCACAATTTTTTTCTTGCTTGAACAGCATTTTCATTTTTTGGTAATAAGAAAGCAAAATATGTGGGAAATGATGCTTTCAATTTTCCATATTTAATGGGACACCGAAAAAAAAAAAAAAAAAAAAAGCGATTGTACAGAATCAAACAAAATTTTTTTACAAATAAGCCTTAAAATGTCAGCTATCAAAGTATATAATGAAAATTTGGTTTAAAATGAAATTGGCTGGNTCAAAAGTTATAAAATTTGAAATAAAATATCCTTTCACTTAATTAGCATTGCTTTTAAAATGCTACAAGAAGTTATTTGTGTAAATGTTTTTTATATCAATACTCTAGTATATATCCTTTCAAAAGAAAATGGTTTTAAAAAAAATTTAACTTTAAAATACTATTTAAACTTAATTTTAAAAATAACTAGACAACCCATTACCTGCTGAGTCAATACTTAAAATTTATAAAGAATAGGAGAACTGTAATAGTAGTGTTTTATAGAGGTGTAATGCCTCCTCATATCTCATTTTACAGATTTCTCCTTGAACTTAGTCCCACATGACCAAATAAACTTTGGTCATGTGAGACAAGATGAGAGCTGATGCTGTGACACAGATAGTTGAGACTATGTAGATGTAAAAGCTTATGTATTATTCTAGTTAATAAAAATAAATTTAAAAACTCACCCAATTATCTCGTGTTCATGTGATTTAATATGTTTATACCATCTTAATGCATGGGCATATGTAGATGGAGGAGGTTTCCTTAATTGTTGAACGACTTTAGTATCTGCTTCAGATTTTTGATACCTGCAACATAAAACAGTGAGAAAGTATACTTAATTAAAATGTCAGATTTTTAAACTATTTTTTGCAATTTGATTTCTTAAGAATTAAAATATATTCTTGTTAGTCTTTTCTAACTTTTTAATAGAAAACAAACAACAACATTAATATTCTGGAAAAACTTCACATATTTAAAAAAACTGTTTTTATTGATCATGTTTTTTGAGAATGGAGTGATATAATTACCTCTTTCTAACCTGTTACCGGTGCGTCTACTAACTCTTAACGATCAAAAACGAACCCTTTCTGTGTCACAGCATCAGCTCTCATCTTGTCTCACATGACCAAAGGGTTCGTTTTGGATCGTTAAGAGTTAGTAGACGCACCGGTAACAGGTTAGAAAGAGGTAATTATATTACTATTCTCCGGTGTTGTGGTAAAGATGAGTGAGAATGGAGTGGAAGTGGTAGAAGAGAGGCCACCCCATCTCTCACATTTACAGACACACAATTAAATTCTACATTTGGTTGTTAATTAGAAGTGAATGAAATTTGAGTTGCAAGGCTTGAAGACATCACACAAATCAGGTCAAACATCTACAAGATATGCTATATTTCAAAACAGACACATTGGTGTCTCATACTTCAAATTTAATTCATTCCAGGAGACCATTTGAAGTCCAAAGCAACTTTTCCCATTAATAATAATAAAAAGTAAATTTATCCATTACCAAACCTTAAACAATACCCATTTTGATAAATTTAAACACAAAAACATAAATATGTAAACACAGTATAAGAAAATGAAAATTACATTTACTGGTGCACAATTGACTTCAGTATCTTAAATACGGCTGCCAGATTCGCCACACATGTACTGCTTTCAAGCTTTGCAATAAGTTCTTGTTTGATCTGAATCATTAATATTACAGCCTTCCTCTTATTTGTTAGACTTCATTGTTTACACACTTCTCAGATGCTATGATTAATAAGTGAAGGTGATACCGAGTTGGAAGAAGTTGCATATTGCTAACAGCTATCATTAGTTAACATATATGTGTGGTTTAATTAAAACATTTATGAAATTTAATGCATTATTGCTAATTTGAGATTGTATTTTTTGTTTTTTTGTGTTTGAAGTTAGTCTTTTGAAGTACGAGGTAGAGTAAGACCCCGCTTAACACTGCCTCGATTAACACAGTCTGTTTGAAGCCTTAAAATAATAATAAATAAATAAAAAAAAGCTCAAAATTTATGCCAATTCAAATTATCATGGCATTTCATTGATTTGTATATAATACAATTATTCCCAAACACAAACCAATCAGCAAAAGGTGGCAATTCACTATAGCACTGTGCTATTTTTAAATCTATGTTTGTTTGGTGCAATTTTGGTAAAAATATAACATCATGGATGCCATATGCATTAACTGATATATGCATGAATGACGTGTGGAAGAAGTTATGCTGAAGGTATCCAAGAATTCTCAATGAGAAGAGCCTATCACTGTATTGTTAGGTTGATCAAATCAAATTGTCAACCTAATCAATACAGCAGAACTAAGTGATGTAGACGAGCAGGATATTGAGAAGTTACTGCAAGTTCCTGGTGAGAGCCTTACCAATGTCCTTTTGAGAACTGACAGAATAAGGAATTTCTCTACAGATTTCTTTAATAAAAGTTTGTTAACGATAATAAAACCATTGATCAAATTGTAGCAAATGATCCAGATTTTGAAAGGAGTACAAAAGCAAGACGAGGTTTTTTGATGCAATCTCCTGCTACCGACATTTGACACTTGCTTATGGAAAGAAAAAAATCAACAAATGAAACTACACAGCTTTATTGCAAAAAACAAGAATTTCAGAAGAGCCAGGCCCTTCATCACAAAAAATGAACTTACATTGTGTGCATATGTTTGTGTTATTTAACATATATTATTGTGCAAATTAATATAAAATTAACGTAAAATCTGTTTTTTTTTCTTTGGTTGCATGTTCCCCTTACCCCATGTGTTAAACAAGTGTTAAAATGACCTCATTTAACACTTTCATTTAGCACTTTATTGTCTAGGAATATATCTCTTGCATTACTGTACTGTAATGTAGGGAATATGTTACTGTACCACAATAATAACAGAAAATTTTATTTTACTACTTGATGCTATCAATACTTTTTAGTTATCAACTCTCATAAGCTATTTGGAATATTAGTATAATTCATAATGTAACCATATATAAGGATTATGCAGACAGTTAATTGTAAATGAGAAGAAACTTCATTACAGCTTTTAAACTTATAATACATCCAATTTGATAGCAGAAGATTCAAATAAACTAATTTTTAATATAAAAGGATATTATATCAAATTTCAATCTTATAAAGATTCCTTAAATATCACACTACAGGCTGCCATTGCAACCACAGGCCCACCAGTGGCCAAGCTGTTTCATTCCCCGAACACTGGGAGTTCGATCTTGGGTTCGCTCCTTGCCAAGACAGGCTGGCCACATGGAACTTTCTGGGTTTTCTCCACATCTGTAACGCCTGAATAGGGGCCAGTTACCCTTAAAAAGAGCTCCCAGAAGGCATCCCCTCTAGGCAGCGTGCCCAAGTGTTGCATTAACATAACTTAATAAAACACACAAACATTGCAACCACAGTTTCACTTCAAAAATGTCTCCATCTTTAAACTTTTATAAAATTTATTGTTTAAATACAGGTTCTCAAATAAAATTTGCTTAATAACATCCTTAAATAACCTACTGAAATTTGCAGCGGCAAAATCTTGGTATAGCTATATTAAAACAATTAACTATGAGTGCATCAACAATTTCCAGAGAAATCAGGGAGGGAGGAGAATGTCTTATATAAAACTTCAAATCAAAATATGGGGGCAAGATTTGTTATATGTAAGGAACAGATTTTTGTGCTAAAAAATTTGAATATCTTTATTTTTTAAGTGATAAAAATTACAGAAATATTTGATGAAATTCCAAAATATGTTGAAAATAAAAAATATTCCTTAAACATTTCATTATTTTTACATGCAACACACAGTTTTTATAAGCTATAAATAAGCATTCAGCAGTGACAGCCTTCACCTATAGTAATTTCTTTATGGTTACAATGCATTATGAATGCCATCTCCAAATTCATTATGGATATGTCTGTTATCTCAAAACAAAGCCTTATATTGTAAAAAAGTCCATTCCACATCACATGAAGTCAGCATACTTGATAAGCAGAATATCACTAACATATATTTCTAATAATTTTCCATTGAGAAATGTTTAATGAAAATCATTAATGTATATTAAACATTGAGATAAAATATTCAACAAAACTCACTCAGCAAATAATAAAGTACACCACACCTTAAGTTGTTGAGAAAAATTTATTAAAACATAACTAACATTTTCAGCCAAATCAGGAGCACAAATATAATGTCAATAAGGGATCCAATGCCACAGTATTATCTCAGATGGCACAGGCTAAAGGCTCCATAGTAAAATGGGAGGAAGCAGATAGTGTTAAGTCTGTGCACTCTCTGACTTTGGCAATGAGCACAGAAAATATTGAAATTTATAAGGCTACAAGATACATGCATTAATGCAAAGGATGCAGAAGAGCTACCATCTGTGTGGAAGTATTTAGTTAAAAAGTTTTTTAAGATCTCATAACTTATGCCTTAATTTTTATTTTTGCATTTTTTTTACATTTTTTGTATATTATATATGATATTATTACATGATATATGCTATATCTGTTTGTTGTTTTATTGTATTTTTATACATGTATATATATTTTGTTATAATTCTTCTGTTAATTTTGTATTTGAATTTGTTCCACTGTATTTGTATGTGAATTTATATATTTCATTTTTAGAGCATACTAGATTGATTTTCATTTCAGTGTTGACATATGTACTGAGCAGCGACATTATACATTCGTTAAAACAAAGATTTTTTTTAAAATATTTTTATTTTTTCTGTTTATTATTATTGAGTACGTATACATTTGCATTAAATTAATATTAAAATGCTAAATGTTTAGGTTCCCACGAGTCAAGTTATTAAACTTAATCTATATATATAATCAAGACCAGTTGATAATAATAATAAGCGCAGAGCCCAAACAGTTAGGAGTTGAAAGCTAAAATTTGGTATACAGTTAGGGTACATCACAAAAACGCACACTAAGAAGGGACTTTTTGAAATTCCTCCCCCAGGGGAGAGGGACAGGATTAAGCTTAACACTTTCATCAACAATGGAAGTGTTACGTAACAATGGAATTGTTAAGAGAAAGCGACGTTTTAAGAGAAAGTGCAGTTTTTTTTGTTTTTGCAGGAAATCAAAGATATTTTTAGACCCATCTAAAAATTCTCTAATTAGTCTGGAAACAGGGGACCCAATTATTGCATTCTGTGAAAACGGGTAAGGTTGACTATAATGTAATAATCTTAATCTTCGCTATTGTTACCTTTGCCCAAGCAACACCGGGCCTACTTGCTAGTAGTCCAATAAATGTCATCCAAATCCAGAGCGCTAATGAATGCAAATAGTTTATATCCTGTATCAGTTCATTCAAGAAAACACCTTACGACATAGTAGCACTTCTGGCAATCACAAATTATCATTAGTGAGACGAAATCTACTTCTTGTTGGCCAGATGCTATCTACTTCTTGTCAGTCAGACGATAGCAAGACAAAACCAACTTTAATTTTTCAGCCCAAACTGAATTAATAAACAAAATTATTTGCTTATTTTTTACTTATGTAAAACCTAACCCTATACACCTCACTGTAAATATGGGTTCATTTTACACTGATTCACTTTGTGCCAGCTTTTGTAGGAATAGAACTGCAGCATAAACTGAGGGCTACATGTATATATATTGATAATTTCCAAATTTAATAAATTTATAATTACAAGGGGAGACCAAAAAAAAACCAAACCGAGAGTGCACTGCCATTCGTAGACGTAGTAGAAAGTTCTCCTGTTACATGGGGTTAGTAGAGAC